TTTGGCACTATAAAAAGGGGTGTTTGGGTCTGCTTTTCTCACCAATTCATTTCACAACATCCATACTTTCATTGCATTCAAATATCATAATTTTCCATAGCTTTCTAGAGCCATTTGTGTGTGAAGGTTGAGTTGTTCTTGAGCGTACTTAGTTTACTCATAATCTACTCTACAAGAGAGTCTCGTTCTTGAGTGTACTTGTGTTCTTAGACACGTTGAGAGAAAGTATTTCTCTCGTTGATTCAAAGGAAGGTCTGTTTCCTTTGAAGGATTCGTTGAGGTTCGTGTGACTCGAACTCTCAAGTTGTAACGGTTTGTTAAGCACCCGCAAGCTTAACGAGTTAGGCCCCGTTCCGTTCAACTTATTTTTTCTTGTTTTTTCTTATTCTTATTAAAATCAGATCAGATCAGATCAGATCAGACCAGATCAGATCAGACCAGATCAGATCAAATCAAATCGAATCAAATCAGATCAGATCGAATCAGATCAGATCAGATCTGATCCAATCAGATCCAATCAGATTAGATCAGATCCAATCAGATAATACTAGATCCAATCAGATCAGATCTGATTCAATCAGATCAGGACTTATTAAAACCAGATCTCATCAAGAATTATTATTATTATTATTATTATTATTATTATTATTATTATTATTATTATTATTATTCGTATTATTATTATTATTATTGTTGTTGTTGTTGTTGTTCTTAAAAATGACAATGTCAATCTAATTCTACTTTAAAAATACGGAGTATATTTTTATTGCTACTTGTAATTTGAGTTTCTAACGTTTTGATCTTTTATAAGGATGGGATATTTTAATAAAAATACTATCTCTTCTATATATTGATTATCTAAATTTAATTACTTTTTAATGTATATCTAAATTAAATATTTATTATAATGTATAATTCTAATTTTACAAAAAAAAAATTATCATAAAATAAAAAATATTATTACATTATCATGTGAATGATTATTCTAATATATGAATTAACTATTTTTATTTTATTAAAAAATAATCATTAAATAAAAAATATTGATTATATTATAATATGAATTGTCATTACAATTTTCAAACGTTATTATAAAGTCAAATTAAATAATTAATTTGAAATTTTAAATTAAATCATAATTAATCAGATCACACCAGATCATATCCAATCAGATCAGATCAGATCCAATCAGATCAGATCCAATCAGATCAGATCATATCATATCAGATCAGACCAGATCAGATCAGAACTTATTAGAATCAGATCAGATCAGAAAAAATAAGTTGAACGGAACGGAGCCTTAGTAGTGTAGCTCGAGAGAGTCTCTCAGGAGGCTGGATTAGCCACAAGTTGTGGTGAACCAGGGTAAAATTCGGTGTGCCTTTTACTCTTCTCTTTACTTCTCTTTTAATTTTTAAATTCCTGCGATTTCTCCGATCAAACGCTATTCACCCCCCTCTAGCGTTGGTCTATTATTCTAACAATATATATATATATATATATATATATATATATATATATATATATATATATATATAAGAGCTGAAATACAAAGACGGGGGGGACTAGGCCAAAACCCCGAGCAAAAAACGAAGAACAAGAAATGAGGAACATGTATCAAACTAATATCTATGACCTTTGTTCCAGCATTCCGAGAGACCCAGGTCCTCCATCCCATTTGACTTCATTAACCACGTACGTCCCGAGTGCATATGGGTTCATCTTCTAATCCAATTGATAATAGCATAGTAAATACTCCTAATCAAGGCCTTCTCACCTCCATATACGCATGCACTGTATGCCTTCCGAATGGATGCCTTCCAAATAGCCCATACGATGAAACCCGGCATGCAAGAGCGTAGGATACCCCTGAAATCATTCTTATTTGACGATAGCCACCATTGGAGGAGGTGCTGGCGCAGGGTTACTCCCTCCTTCCATATGGGACCATCCGTCCTTTTTGCAAAATCTTTCCATATACCATTAATGGCAGGGCATGCAAGCAGCGTGTGATCTTGCTGATCTTCGCATCGTAGACAAAATACACATTGGGAAGGTGGTATTTAAGCCTACGAAGGTTGTTTGGAAAGCTGCAGCAGTTATTAAGCAATCTCCACTGGAATAATTGGATTTTTGTTGGAAGGAGCTTATTCCAAATGTGTTTAGATGAAAATAGAGTAGGGCCATTGTCACAAACCAGATCATAGGCATTCTTCATGGTTAGGTTGAGGGGCAGGGAGCTGCCAAATTCATCATCCTCTAAATATACATGAGCTTTGCATATTCTTTTCCACGTTGGGGAGTCCGGGAGATTCGCCTTTATAGCTGCCCTATTAGAAATGTATTTGGCTTTCATAAAGTTTGTCCAAAGGTTCTCCACGTGATTAATCTTCCAAATGAGTTTTAGGGAGTAGGCCTTTTGGACATGGTGCAAGTCCCCCTTCCTTCTTTGGTTTGCACATATATTCCTAGGATTTCCAGTGATGTTTGGCATTGCCGTTGGTGTATCCCCAGAAGAAGTTCTTCAACTTGGCGTGGAGGGTGTTGATGATTGATTTTGGAAGTTCACTAACTGCCATATGATGTAGAGGAATGGAGGAGAGTACGTGTTTGATCAAAATCAACCGGCCCATGGGGTTAAGGACCTTAGAGTACCAAGAGGACAAAAACTTGTCAAAATGTTGAAGTATAGGTTGGCAACCCTCCTTTCTAAGGATACCTTTAGTGATGTTCCCGCCAAGGTAAATGAAGGGGAGTTTTCCACACCTAATTTGGAGAGCTTTCTCCATTTGTAAGCATTTTCTGATGGGGGTCTTGGAGCTCACAAAGAACCTGCTCTTCATCCAATTAATGTCTTGACCCGAGGCTAGGCTGTACTCTTTCAAAATGGACATTAGGCGAAGAAGGTTACGGGTGTTACCGTTGAGGAAAATTACCAGATCATCTGCATAACAGAGGTGAGTGATGATTGGCCCCCGTCCACTGTTAAAAGGTTTGAGGAACCTGGAATGTATCCCCTGTGTAAGAGCTTTGCTTAAACCTTCGCTTCCTAGAATAAAGAGAAGAGGGGACAGAGGATCCCCTTGTTTCACTCCCCTCTTCATAGGGAAGTAACCCTTAGGCTTTCCATTTATGTTGATGGACATCATTGTGGCTTGGAGGTTGCTCAGCAGTAAGCTTGTGACAAAGTTGCTGAAACCCATCTTCCTTAGCACTGATTCTAGGTACTGCCAACTCATTCTATCAAAAGCACTTGCCATGTCAAGTTTGATTATGATATTTCCCCCCTCAACCTTGCGTTCCAGTTGATGAGCCATCTCTTGGGCCAAGAGGATTTGGTCATCAATGGATTTCCCTTTTTGAAAACCAGCTTGTTCCGGACCAATCACTTTATG